TATTGAGACAGCAGGTAACCAACATAGTATCCCAGGTTAAAGAGTCAGTTCCCCCTTTGTACTCCTCCTTTGCTGTTTTGACAGGTGTGCAAAACCTCATCATTGTGTTGTCACAAGTTGTTTTATACAGAAGTTAGCCAGCTACAAGACTCACAGTTCTTTGCAATAGCATTTAAACACAAAACAATTTCCACCACTCAGACCCTGTTGCTATGTTGATTTGAATTGGAATGTTTGTTTTACTCTTCATTCTATTTCAATTGTTGGCTGATGTGTGATTGGGGCAGTCAGAAGTAGCCAAAGATAATGGCAGACCATCAGAGTTGTAAAAAAAAGGTTGATAAGAAGAGCTTCTGGTCTATCATGGAGGATGAGTCCATGCATCGTCATCTCAAACGTGAAGCCTACAAGGTGGCTGACCTAATTGCACAAGACTCAGCTAACCGGAGGACTACGAAATACAAGTTGGATGATGGGACTCCTGGAGAAGGTGTTGAGCAAAACTTCTGGACCTTGATGGAGGATGAGGCCATTCATGCCCATCTGAGGCAGGAAGCCTTTAAGGTAGCTGAGATGATCACCAGAGGAAAGGGACCAAGTCTCAAAACCGTGGAGGTTAAAAGCCTGGCTGAGGTGTCCATCCCTCTGCCATCTTTCACTTCCTCTCCTCCTACCACAGACAAGCCATCTAAACAGACTTCTCCAAAGACTGATGAAGACAAGCATCGACTGAAGCCCTGTCCCAAACTAAGCCTGGGCAAAATCTTCAAACTGCTTAGCTCTGATGAATGGCAACAAAAAATGTATGGTTTAACATCTATCCAAGACCTTTTACAGAATCACCCGGAGGTAGTGAAGGCCACACTTCGTAAAGTATGTGTGGTTGTCATAAAGGAGGTTAAAAACCCACGCTCTATGGTGTCCTGCGCTGCTATTGCCATCCTGGGTGAGATGTATGCTCACCTCAAGAGGACCATGAATGACTTTGTGGAGGAAACAGGCCACGCTCTCATACTAAAAGTGTCTGAGTCCAACAAATTCATCCAGCAGAAGGCTAATCTGGCTTTGGACGCCATGGTTCAAAACTGCAGTCCCAGTTACACTATTAAAGCCCTGAGTGCGGGGCTGGGTCACGGAAGCACTGCAGCTAGAGTCAGCGCTGCTCTGCACCTCAGACAGTTATGCCACATCCTTGGAGCCACACAGACACTCACAGGTGGCAAAAACTTCACCAAACACTTCCTAATGGCTGTTAGCAAAATATGTGTGGATGCTGCTGTGGACGTGAGGCGCCACGGACATGACATCGTCCAAAACATTTCCAGCCACAGCGCCTTCCGAAAGCAGTGGCAAGAGGCTGTCCCGGAAAAGG